GCCCACATTCACAGCTGGGTATGCCCTGAGGAGTCCATAGTCTTCTGTAGGGGAGAAGGGGTGCCTTGCATATGCCGACATCCCTTCCCCTTCTCTACAACACCCGGATCTGCCAGCACCGCAATGCTGGCTGGGCTGAGGAAAAGTCACACCCTAGAGCCAACATTGGGTCTGCTGCAACCCCCCTGGTTGGCCAAGGGCCTGTCCACTGCTCTGGCTTACAGAGAGCCTCTGAAATGGAGAGGGGATGAGAGGAAAACCCACTGGAGCCTTGGACCGGGTAGGAAGAAAAGCACAGAGCCTGGGGTGTGTAGAGACCTACAGAAGGAACCAAGCATGCGATCCTCTAACCGCCCAGCGCCTCTTCCCAGGGCTCTGCCCATGACCAGCTCCTACGACACCTTCTGCTTTGCTGCTCTCTTTGCAACATTTTCATTTTTAAAATGCAAAGTTAAACCTCACTAAACAAGTGCCAAGAGGAAGAGAACATCCTCCCCGACCCTTGCAGCGCTCCACATTTCACTAACTCATCTCCCCCAGTAGGTCAGCCCTACTACTGTATTTTTAAAGCATTCGCACAAATCCAGGCAGATCGGTTGAGCTACTCAGTGATGGCTCACGAGATGGTGGCTGCTGAATGGTGAGTCAGACCCGATGGTGGGGCACTCTAAAGGCTTAGTGGGTTGAGAGATTTAAGCAACATAATTCAGCTTGGGGGCAGGGGCCTGCACTCTTTGCACCAGGCAGTTCAAAAGAGTAGCATGCTGAGAAGGATTTTCAAGCTGCTGCTACCTGAGGACCAGTCTTTTCCTCGTCCAAAAGCAGCACAGTAGCTTTTCACATGGCCGCCTGTATGAAAAGCCTTCTGGTTTAAGCGACAGAAGACTACTGGAAGGCACCCGACTCAGGGATCCTCTTCCACTTGTTGGTCCATCTATTCCCCCAGGCTCCTAGCAATGTGGTGAGCTCAAGAGATGCCCTGTCTATGAATCAGGGGGGGGAAGGGGATTATTGTGGGTAAATACTTTAATCCCGTTGGGTTTTGAACAGGTAAGTGTCATGTATTTGGGGGATTTTCCATTTCTGTTTTTTTGGGGCTATTTTAAAATGCAAGTGTGCCGAGACCTAGGCACAGACAGACATCTAAAAAAAAAAAAAAAAAAGAAAAAAGAAAATATGATTCTATTCGGATTAACAGCTTGTAAAACAGTAGTGCCTGAGCTAGCCATAAGCCAGGAACATAGGAGCTTTATGACTAATCCCAACCCAGGAGTCACAACTGTGTCACGGGCTGTGGAGCCAGGGCAGAAGCAGCAGGTCTGCTAACTACCCACTCGTGCAGGCCAGCGGGCAACAGGCACGTGCCTGCATTAGCTGAGAGCTTTACAAGCTAACGCAGGGTGTTTGCCCGTTCTCAAACAGAAGCACATCGACATTTAACTAGTTTCCGAGGGTACCTTAGTTTAACCTGCCAGAAGCTTTTCCCAGGATAACACCCACTGAACCACAAAGGCCTTTCTGCCTTCAGTGGCCAGCACAGTATGCATCAGCTTGAGCTCGTTGCAACAGAAGACACGTAACTAGTCACACCTGCCTCCCGGACAGAAACGAGCCAGACTGGAACTCGAGGGGAAGTCTGGAGTTTAACTTACTATGATTTTTTTCCTTGGTAGAACATGCTCCTTTTGTTGCGATCTCAGGTTTGTTAGGCCATGGTGGGAACAGAGACGGCAAGCAAAGCCGACAATAAGTGTTTCGGAGAAAGGGCAACCTTTCTTGTGTTTGTACGGCCCCAAGTACAACGGGCTCATCTGGGACCAGGGATCCTGAGGGCGACTACAGCAGCACCAGCAGCCCTCCGCTTCTCCAGCTATCAAGGAGAACAGCTTTTATTCGATCGTGCTCATGGACTCCCCATTTCCAAGACACTGGAGGAGGTTGAACGTTGTTTCGCTGCAGGCAAGTCATACATTCACCACATACTATTGTGTTTTGGCGATTTTCAACCCCCTCCTTTTGTGACCGAAACCAACTTACCGAAGCACAGGCCAGAATGCCAAAGAACCCAACTTTCTGCACCAGGTTCTGAACAGCCAGTTTAGCTCGGGAGGCAAAGTCCTGCAAAGAAGGAAGGAGAGTTGCTGAGAAGGATGGAAGCTGAGCATAAGCATCTCTAAACGACGTGCGGCGCATCGCTGCACCGCTCAGACCTGAGCTCTGCGCTTTGCATGTTACAAGTGAGTGATTACAGAGTGGTTAAAACAAGAGGGCAAATTAGACAGGTCAGAGAGCCAGACCTTTAGTGTTTTTAGCCAAGCTGAACAGCTGAAGTCACCTTTTAGCTATTTCAGTAAATCGGGCTCAGCCAAGCTTTGTAGCCTGGCTAATGCTCACTCTATTACAGAAACGTCCCTCCCAGTACATTCCCCTTCCAGATTCTTGCATTGCTGAAGCCACAGCAGCACTAAATCCTCGTATGGGCAGAAGAGGGTAATTTTGTCCTGGCCATAGGCAGCGCCTTTGAGATACCAAAGGAATTTTTGGAAAGGGAGTTGAAGCACATCCCCCTCCCCCGGTCTCTACCTGTGTGGGCAGGTTTCAAGCCAAGGTCTCCCAAATCATGTTCTACGGACTTGAGTGGTGGCAGGATTTCACCCCCGATATGTAAAAAGCCAGGAAGGTTGCGATCCTTTCAATGTTAAGTCTATATTCCCAGCACTGGAGCCACAAGGAACACAGTCTCCCCCTGATTTCCATAAACACAGTAATACACTGAAAATTGTTAAGATCTATGCAATTACACTGGGAAACAATTCTGGTTTCTCCAATCAATTCCAGAATCTAACTGCCTGAACATTAAGAGGACTGTAAAAACAGTATTCAGTCACTTAAAAACCTATTTGGTGACAACCACTTTGGCTTACTGGTTTTTGAAGAAACAAAAACACAATATACCGAACTTCAGGATCTCTGCTCGCAGTTTATTTTAAAGGCAATTGCTATAACATGGCATTTCCAAAATAGAGACTTAATTCCATTTAAACATAAGAAACAGAGTGGAAACCTAGTGAAATATACAATTTTGTTGCTCAAAAAGTATTAAAATGGGTCTGCTCGAGTGGGTCTGCGTTCGGTGATATGCTTGGTACAGTTAATACTATAAAAACCATAGTCATACTTTGGTATTAGAAAGCTTAAAATGTCTTCATTTACAAACTGATGTTGCCAATCAACATTTTATGCTGTTTTAAGTCAGGTGAAGAAGTCTCACAGATAAAGCTACTTTCATAGGGAACTATCCCGCAGCTAGGACCAACCGATCCGATTATAAACTTCTCAATTTTTTTGACTAGATAGTCTAGTGTAATTCAACCTATGCAATCTTAAAGCTTAATCTCGCTCCTGGTATGACAGAGCCCTCAGGACTGGAAGCCAATGCAGACGAGGAGCAATTACTTCAAATTAACAGTATTGAAGCAAATAAAATTCATACATTTTTAAAGGAAAAAATAAGCATTTAATTAACTTAACAAATGACTGTTCTGCTTAATATTCACCTCTATTATAAAACCATTTAGCTACAATATTGCATTCCTCCTACCCATTACAGTAAAATACAACTTGTTCCTTTTTAACAGCGTTTTAGCAAAAATATATGGAAGATGCTTAGTAATTATGTTGAAATGGTAGTTTTAAGTGTAAGCATACCTGCCTGCTTATAAAAGGCTTATGATTCCAAGAGAAGTGTTATTCTGACAGGACACAATTAGGTCACACCATAGAAACCTCTCATGAAAGCTGTACTTTAAATTACACCAACCCACTTAATGTGATATTATGCTCCGAGAAAAAGAAGAAAAAAAAATACAAAAAAATCACCTCCACTCAGAAATCCTATTCTTGCAGAAAGCAGAGCAATTGCTATCATCTTCTACTTTAAACTACAGTGTTTTATTACTTCAAAATCAGAAGTTCTTCAAGGAAAAATGAAGTGCTCTACATAGGAGGAGAGAGAGCAGCCAAGCAAGATTTGGATACCTCTTACAATGGACATTTTTTGCTCATGGACTGTTAAACAGGTGCAACACAAAGCTCTGCGCTGGTGCGCTCCTGGGGACATTTCCCACAGGTACACCGGCACGGCTACTTCTAATAAAAATTTTGCAATCTAATTTCTATGCACCTAACGGCCAAGTGCAATAGGATAATACGAGTTTAAAACCGTTTCCAATTAATTTTTTAACTTTTTCAAAACACGAGATTGAGAAAGATCCTTATTACTCTGATTAACCGACACGTTTCTGAGATGCTCCACAGCACCAGTGTGTCTCTGACACGAGGTTAAAAAGCTATTGCCCTTTAGCAACGTTTTCCAACGTTTTAAATTGTTCAGGGGCTGTTTTGCCATACTCTCTGAATAAAGCACGCAGAAAATTAAATGCAGAAAGAAAGTAGCATTTTTAGCCACAAATTTAAAAATAAAAACAAAACACACAGGTATATACTTGGCTTTATTTTTTTAAACCAGTAGCAAATTTGGGCCATAAATAATAAACTGAGCAAGTATTTTAAACCTTCAATTGTTATTTTAAGGGTTCAAATAAAAGGACGCTTGCTCAGTCTTTGGGGCTGTTGCTTATACTAAAATTTCTACAAAACTATTTCTGAATTAGAAAACAAATTAAACAGTTCAGTGTAGTGTGAATAAGAAAAATGACACACAAAGGGGCTCATCTGATCAGTACGGGCTCATTTTCCATTGAGGTCAACACAAGTTAGGTGCGAGGCAGAAGGAAGTGAGACCCCTTAGACTTTCAGTGCGATCATGCAGACATGAAAATCATTAAAATGCTACACCAATTAAGGAAATGACAGATGTCCCAATGGTCAAAGGTCTGTCAAAGTGAGAATACGGTGTAAAAAAAGAGCACAGGCTGGCAATTTTATCTGTGATTTTAAAGAACCTAATTCATTATCATTACAAAGGCAAAGTTTATTTTTCTTTTTTAAAAAGAACTTTAAAAAAAAAAGTGAACTGAAAAAGAAGCTGCAGCCCATGTCAGGATTTCATAAGAAGCCTCTCTCCATATTTTATAACAATACTGGATATGAATACGACACTTTCGTTTCCTATTCTGCCAACTATTTCACAATGCTCATGGAGTTAAAGTAACACTTGCAATTTAATAAACCTATGAAAACTTTTACACAGTGACATACAACCTAGATTTAATATATCTTTAAAAGGATTTATAAAGACATCAACTGTGGGCTACTTCTATTATCTCTAGTAGAGTAAGTGGATTTTTTTTTTTTACTTCTATATAAAATGTATAAGTTAGATTTGGAAACAAGCCCTTTAGCAAAACAAGACTTATGAAGCAATATCTTAAGCAAAATTAATTATACTGGTAGTGCTAACCATAACGTCTATATAGATTTCTTAGGGCGTGTAACATTTTGCTATAATTTTGTTTTTGTAAAAAAAAAAAAAAAAAAAAAATTAAGATGTGAGCAGGCTAGAACAACCGCCTCCAATTTTAGAAGTTAGCAAAGTCTCAAATTCTGATATTCTTCTTCCACACAGGGACAATATACAGATTTCTTTTCAGAAGAAAAAGAAATTACAAAAGTTGTGGAAAATGGTGAAATGTTCACTTCACTCCATCTACTGCACCCACTCCACTGTCTGCTTTTTTCTTTAGTCACTCTCAGCTTTTAAGTTGGTGGATTTTGATTCTTAATTTGTTACCCAATCTTTTTAAAGCATTTTTAAATTTAAACAAAACTCTGCAACACATTCCAGAATAAGCCTCTACAATTATTGAATTTTCAGTTCTTTTTTTCTTTCTACCCATTTTTACAGCATAGCATTATTTTAAATGGGGAAAAAAAAACCAACAGAAAAAACAACCTGATTTTATCTGTGCCTTGTCCATGCATTGAATCCAAACTAAAATAATCACAACTAAAGTTTACTGGATAGCAACAGATTGCGATCACTGGGAAGTGCAGCATCCAAGGTTATTTTAATGAAAGAAAGGCAGAAAACCCTTCTAACTTGATTGACAAATGTCATTTGTCAATTCTTTAACACATCTGCAATATTAAAAAACCCCTTAACAGTTTCATTTCTCTGAGAGTACAATCTCAGTTTCACAACTTTTACCTATTTCACAATACAAGTTCATTTGGAACAACTTCTTTGCTAATATTTGTCAGTGCTGAATTCAACAATCAAAATAAGTTATTTGTTTCTTACAATTTTTAAAAATAAGGACAAAAAATCCAGCTACTTACAGGCAAAACATATTTCCCCAAAATTTAAGAATCTAGAATCAACCCGACGCAAGTCTCGGCTCTTGTGATTCATTCTCCCTAACATTACACATTTTTGCTCACTATAACCCTATCAAAGAAGATTTGTTTTTTGGTTTGGGAATAGATTTCCTGTGACTACTGTAACCCATGCAAGGGAAGGTTAAATGATTAAATATTACTTCACTGGGTTAATCATCAGATTGCAAGAACTGGAAAGGAAAAAACAGGGCAGAGCTGAACTGCCGATTCACAAGTTTCATCTAGCACTTCTCAAACGTTTGCTTCATCGTATCTGCCTTTGGTGAAAGGTCAGTATCAAAAAATTGTACTCTAGGAAGCAGGTATTTTATCCCGACACGTTGCAGGGGGAGGGGGGAAGAATCTGTAAGGGGACTTTCTAAAGAAATCAAAACGTTTGGCTCCTCAGCAAGATTTACCAAGAAGTTCCTCTTCACAGTAAGCCACAGGGCAATGGTGTGTGCCTAACTTAACAGAGAGAGGCAAGGATTTCTGTGGATCGTATCTTTTATTGGACTAAACATATAGGCGGGTGGGTCCTAGGTAAGTGTTCAGGTACCACTCTACCATTTACAACCCTCCCCCTTCCCCTCCCTAAACAAGCAACCCCCCCAAAAAATAGCCACTGGTCAAATTTTCAGGGAGGCAAATCTATGCCTCACCTGTAAGGCCTCAATCAAGACGTTACCTCTAGCTCATCTTATTGCCTTTTTTGTAAACAACGTGTGGTATATTTTCTCGCCCCCTTCTCCGGGGACAAAAAGTTCCAGTGGCCTCTA